CGCGGCATATACAAATTCAGTTACAGTCAAAGCTCGAGTCGCATCGGTGCCGTTTGCGAACTCCACTTCGATCGCGCCGTCCCTCAGCTTGTCACAGCGGGTGACTTTTCCCAACCTGTCGCATCCGTTTCGGCGCTGAAACGGTGAAAGCGATGCCAGGTTCTTCACATCACTCCGGAAGACAAGAACGCGTGGGGCAGGTGGAACCGACTCCTCGCTGCACCCTAAATTCATCGCAGTCCGTCCCTCTCTCGGGGGGCGGGAGTTTTTTGGGTTTGTAGATGCCATGCAAGGTTGTTCTTTATTTCGGCACCGGGGCTCCCCACCCACCTCGGAGCCCAACTGGGGGACGGCCCACTCACCAGTTGGTGGTGGTGCCGCCAGGGCTACCTCGGTGCTATACGGGGCGGACGACGCCTCCCACACGGCCAGGTGTAACCGGGGAGACCCCTCCCCGTCCTGACCGTGGTTCAGCGCCGCCGCCCCTTGACCCCTTAAGCCGCTGCGCGCGGCCAGGCGCCTCAAGCGGAACCCGCAAGGAGCACCCAACCGCGACGCGAGCGACAAGCCGCTAGACCCGTGTGGGGCCCCACGGGCCCCCCGCGCCCCCGGATATCCTGGCCAAAGTGGAGTGTTGGGACGCGCCGTGACTGACCCGCACGACGCGCCCCTCAGCCACCAGGATCCGATCAACCCGGGGACGAGGGCGAGGGGGCACGGCGACCCCGATAAAACGAGGATCAGGAGTGATGAGTGGGCCGGATGCGGGAAAATGGGTAATGGGAAGGGAGCAAGCGGGACAAGGAGAAGGGGCTCACGTACCGGCAGGGTCGCTACGCCCTGAGAGGAACAGCTTGCGCTGTCCACCCGTTACCGGAGCTGGGACCCGAGGGGGCGCTAGTCCCCTACACCGACCGAAGCCGGTGCCCCTGCGGGGGCCCCTGCGGGGGGGGGGGGTCGACTGGGAGTCGGGCGTTCGGACCGAGGGAACAACCGACAGGCCAAACGACGTCAGAAGTCCTACGAACTGAACGGCCGTCGTGTGCTCGATGGCATTACTTTGTGGGAACGAAGTTTTCACTTTGGACGCAAACGATGTTTTTGGATGGCTGTCGTTGTAAAGTGCACGAGCTTCATGAAAAGAGACATTTCTAGAGGTTTTGATCGATATAATCTCTTTTTCTTTCGCGGAGGCCGGACATGTACGGTCATACGTCGTGTGTGGGATTTGGTCCTTGCCGCAGTTCACGCAATGGGGTTCCGCAGAGGTGTAAACTTCGCTCGTGTGCTCGAATGACGCACATTTACCACACGCTGGGCGGGTACGACAATGGAGCTTGGTATGGCTGAATCGCTGGCACTGGTAGCACCGCATGGGGTTAGGCACATAAGGGCGAACCTTCACTCGAGCGTATCCAACACGTATCTCGGCAGGGAAGTCGGTGGAACTAAACGTCAGAATGAGGTTGTTGGTGGGCAGCAGCTCTCCTCCCCGTCTGACGAGAATCCTGCGAGCGCTCGTCACACCAAACTCTGAGAGCTGCTCGACTATCTCGTCCTCGGCGACGTCACGGAGATCGAAACAATTGACTACGCCCCTGGATGTATTTTTGGTTTTATGTGGTGTTGCTGATATTGACAGGGCCTTTTCATGCTTGCCAGTCTCGTCCCGAACAGTAAACGTAAATTCCTTGGCTGCCATGGCCTTGCTTGCCTGCAGACCGCTAGCGAACTCTACTTCTATTTTCCCATCCCGAAGCTTGTCACATCTTATAATTTTTCCAAACCTGTCGCAGCCGTTCTGCCTCTGAAACGGTGACAGGGAAGCCAATTTAATCTCTTCACTTCCGAAGATCAGGATCCGTGGACCGGGGCACGCAGATTCCTCTCTGCACCCTGGGGCTATCGGGGTCCGTCCGTCTTGCGGAGGACGGGTGCTTTTAAGGTGAAAAGACGCCATAAAGAGTGGCTTTTATTTCAGCACCGGGGCTCCCTACCCACCTCGGAGCCCAACAGGGGGATGGCCCAACACTCACTCGGGAGGTGGTCACCGCCAGGGCTACCCCGGTGCTATACGGGGCGAACGACGCCTCCCACACGGCCAGGCGTAACCGGCGAGACCCCACCCCGTCCTGACCGTGGTTCAGCGCCGCCGCCCCTTGACCCCTTAAGCCGCTGCGCGCGGCCAGGCGCCCCAAGCGGAAACCCGCAAGGAGCACCCAACCGCAACGCGAGCGACAGGCCGCTAGACCCGTGTGGGTCCCACGGGCCCCCACGCCCCCGGATGTTCTGGCCAAAGTGGAGTGTTGGGACGCGCCGTTACTGACCCGCACGACGCGCCCCTCGGCCACCAGGATTCCATCAACCCGGGGACGTGGGCGAGGGGGCACGGCGACCCCGATAAAACGAGGATGAGGAGTGGTGATAGGGCCGGATGTCGGAGAACGGGTAATAGGAAGCGGAGCGGGCGGGACAAGGAGCAGGAGCTCACGTACCGGCAGGGTCGCTACGCCCTGAAAGGAACAGCTTGCGCTGTCCATCCGTTACCGGAGCTGGGACCCGAGGGGGCGCAAGTCCCCTACACCGGCCGAAGCCGGTGCCCCTGCGGGGCACCTATAATTGTGCCTACCCTGCCACTTTGGTGCCTCTAGTGTGTCCGTGGGTCAAATCCGAGTAACATTCAGACAAAAGGCAATTACGCTGGCTTTCGAACATCTGACTCAACGGCCTGCGGTTTCTGCGACTCTCAAGCTGGTGCTGCGGCAAAGGGTCTCGGTACATCACACCCGACAAGACTTATACTCTAGCTCGTAATACAACACAACAGAATGCACATGGTGTATTCCTTAATTGCGATGATGCGTGAAAAAGAAAATCATAACCCCTTACGGTACACTGGCAATATAACACATCGTTTGCTTTCATGGCTGAGGCATTTCATTAGCTCGTATCGCAGGTGTGGAAAGGCCGATGTCCAGCGCCAGAATTGCGTGTGGGCGCCAACGAATCGCCCAGCTCCAGCAAAAATCTCGCCCCGCGATCACAGTAAGGCTCAGAGCGCATATGTCAACAAACCACGCTCCAAACTCAGCATACCTAAACCACGCCCCTAACCCAGCATGCCACCTTTAACATAATCAAGGAAGTGTCAGGCACATCATAAGTCTCCGCCCAGCTTTAGTCACCGGACACCACGGAATGTCCTAGGCCACGCTCAATGCACACGCATTTCCAGGCATCACTTTCCCAGTCCGACCAGTCAGTGCCGCGATATCATGGCTTGAACGGGACAACGGTATACATCGCTGCTTCCGAAACCACTCCATCCTATAACCAACGAAACGAAGTGCACGATTCGCCTTCAAAGCGACGCATTTGAGATCCATATAATCCAGCCGCAACCATAAGCTCGATTAGCAACACAAGCTAACACCCTCGACAAGGTAATGTAATGACAGTGAAAATAAGTGGTTTCAGAGCCTTGTCAGAAAACAACAGACAGAATTTTCACCACCGGATTGACACCAGATGACGGCACCGCCGCTCCGGATCACGGCACTGCCGGTCCAGATCATGGCACAGCCGCTCCGGATCACGGCGCCGCCGCTCCGGATCGCGGCACCGCCGCTCCGGATCACGATACCGCCGCTCCGGATCACGGCGCCGCCGCTCCGGATCACGGCGCCGCCGCTCCGGATCACGATGCCGCCGCTCCGGATCACGATACCGCCGCTCCGGATCACGGCGCCGCCGCTCCGGATCACGACACCAGCGCCCTAGCTCGGGGCTCCGCAGCGCCGGGTTACGGTGCTGTCACTCGGCATCAGAGTGTCAGCGGGCCGGCCGGCGGCGGCACGGCGTGCGCACGCCGCAGGTGTTTGAGCATGTTGGCCTTGGATGAGAGCACGCGCCGACAGACGGGGCAGACGCTCTGGCCGCGGTGGACCTGGCGGTGCTCGCAGAGCCGGGCCGAGCTGCGGAACAGTGCGCCGCAGTACTGGCACGCCAGCGAGCCGTCCGCCGTCGGCAGTCCTGCAACACGGCCCGCCAGCCCGTTATGAGCCGGGTCCGGCCGGGGTTAGCCCGCTGCATGTCCGGGTCAGTCTGCTGACAGAGTGCTACCTGACTAGGTGTCTTTGCTTCCTCAGCTGTAAACAACGGAAAACGTGCGCGTGTCCGGCGACTCTAGCCGAATTCTCTCGAGATCCGCGATGAGATCCATGCCAATCTATCAGCTGTCTTGGCAACAGAGTCAACGCCATGCGATAGAAGTTGATGGGCTAGGGAGTGGGCCAGATTCGGTAGTAAACAACAGCGGTATGACAGCTCCATTATATGTACGTCACTTCGAATGACTGCGAAGTGCGTACCAGTACGTACCAGTGACATATGAAGACAGATGAACATATTCTGCTGAAGTGCAAATTTCCGATCACTTGGGAGCCAGACTCATTAGTAACCATCTGACAATCTTGCCAGATACAACGTCACCCTCCAGACCGTTGACTGGACCTGCCTCCGTTATCTGCAAACAGGTTACCGAGTACCTGCCGCAAACCAACCCGTCACCGTTCCTTTCACTTAAGAAGTAAGCCATCGACATCAACACGAATCGCGGAAAATGCCTACACACAGCTGCCCCGCCGCCCAACCAGCAAACCGCGCCAAACTCCGCAGCAGAAGAACTCGGACCCCGTGCTTCACAACCTACGGCTTTCCATCCACATTCGTCGTTTAACATTCAGCCGTTAGATGGCAGCTGCGTTGACCAGCAGCGCGATCGGGCATGCGTCAACGTTATACGCCACGAACTCAGTTATAAAACTGTAGGTCGATGTGAAATGGCCATGGCGCTGCACCGCCTTCCGCGGGGCACACATATTTCAAATCGTCAGAACGGATTTGCATTGTGCTGAGACAGAGTCGCAGTCTGGCATCTCTGCGCGGGACACGCGCTTTCGCAGCGGTGCGAGCACTAGAAGCTACGAAATTCTGGAGAAATGGAGGAAATTTCCATCGTGGATATGAAGGGTGAGTTCACCATTTGTATACGTTTTTCCGCTCGGGAATTCTTTTAAAACTAAGTGGGCCAAGCTTAAAGGAGTGTTCCGTATTTGATTACTATTTGGGCTTTGGGGCGCACCGACTACGTTGGTCGTATGGCGCCCAAAACATACATTTTATCTAACAGTTGCCTGGAAAAGCAGAGAGATAGGGTTTCGTTCGATATATGGCATGAAATTGTACGTCTTTAAGATAACTAAAAATATGACCGTCATGTACTGAGCTGGAATCGTCTCACAACATACTACAGAGCGTTGGACGCAAGGACCCAGATCCAAAATGGCGCATACGTTCCAAGGCGAGGTGGGCACAATCTATCAAGACAAGTCGTACGGTGTAACGATCCCCGCAGCGAGGACACTGCGGTTGGTCTTCCCCGCATAAGAGGTATCGGTGAGTTGCACATGTGTGGCCTATTCTCAGGCGGCATAGCGTCACTCCCTCCCGCCTCACCCTACGACAGCTGGACGCCCATGGTCCCAAAAGGAGTTTTATCTCCCTCTGTTTATTGGCAGCATGCACACCCCAATTCGCTTACCACTGCTTCAACATCAAGGCAGATACCACTGCATATAGGTCGTTAGCTGGGACTGTCATCGTAAGGATCCCAGATGCGCGTGTGACACGCCTTGCTGCGGCATCAGCCGCTCCATTACCCGATATGCCAACGTGGCTTGGTATCCAGCAGAATACCACCTACTTCCCGGATCGCGACAGTGTAGCAAGAAGAGTTAAAATGTTCTGAACGATGGAATGTGATGAATTTAAATCTTGCAGAGCCATCCGGCTACTAAGAGAGTCCGATAAAACTAAGTGTTGGTCGTCACTGTCAACTTTTGTGAAATGGAATGCTTTAAGAATGGCTATTAGCTCGGATGTGAACACCGATGCGTGACCAGGCAAAGCAAAAGACCGTGCAACAGGACCTTGGACAAAAGCACATCCAACACCGGCATCCGCTTTCGAACCGTCCGTGTAGGTCTTCTTGTGATCAGGGTGTGACGCAATCAACTCTAAAGACTCATCCGGAGACACCTGCCTCTTCTCGAAATGGGAAAGTGAGACATCTACCGCTGGTGGATAGAGCTTCCAAGGAGGAGTCTCGGGAAGTTCTCAACGAATCACATGCCGTGTGCGAATGCCACACCCCTTCAAAAGTATGAAAGTCCTCACACAGAACGGTGCGATCTGATGTACCCTCCCAGTGAGAAGCATGCGTATTGTGCGGCGAGAGAAGACCCACTTGTATGTTGAGTGATCGGGGAGCTGCGCCAACTTACAGGCGAATAGCATGCCCAGTACCTTTCTCCTAGTGGACAAAGAGGGCTCGTGGGCCTCAACAAGGAGGCTCGCTGTCGGAGAGGTCCTGAATGCACCTGTTGCGATACGTAAGGCAGTATGATGCATCATGTCCAACGAGCGTTTCACCGACTCCCAAGCGCCGTCATAAACAAAAGAAGCATAGTCGAGGTTGGATCTGATAAGAGAGCGATAGAAGAGCAAGAGTGTTTTCCTGTCCGCACCATAAGACGTGCGTGCAATGCATTTCAGGACATTCGGGGCTTTAAAACACTTGGTTCGCAACGCCTTTATATGGTCTTTGTAAGTAAGGCGGTGATCCAATTGCACGTCCAGGAAACGGACCACGGGCTCAAATGGGATCGCTTCGCCACACAGTCGGATCGCTACATCCCGGCAGTGACCACGACGGCGACAAAAGTGCACACCCGTTGTTTTCAACGTGGAGAAACGAAAACCATTCAGCGTGGCCCATCTCTCCAAACATGTTACAGCTAGTTGCAGCTGACGTTCCATCGCTGAGGTCAGAGAAGAGCTGCACCAGATCGCAAGATCGTCGACGAACAGCGAGCGACCAATCGACTGAGGCAATGCATCTCCGACGTCATTGACCACAAGTGCAAAAAGCGCAACACTTAAAATGCCACCTTGGGGCACACCGCTGCGTTGTAGGAAACGATCAGAAAACTGATAACCAACACGGACACGGAAAAAACGTTCCGCTAAGAAGTTCAGTAAAAAATAGCGCATGTTACCACGAATACCATGCTTAAAAGCCTTCATAAGTATACCATGTCGCCATGTGGTATCATAAGCGCCCTCTATGTCAAAGAAGACCGCTCCCACATGACGACGCTGTTTAAAAGCTGCACAGACAACAGTATCCAAGATAAGAAGATGGTCCAGCGTGCTACGGTGTTTCCTAAAACAACCCTGAGGATCAGTAAAAATTGCATGTTTCTCCAAAAACCATGAAAGACGGCGAATGACAAGTCTCTCCATCAGCTTGCACAGGGATGATGTAAGAGAGATGGGCCTGTAGTGAACCGGATCTTTGCCGCTCTTACCTGGATTTAAAAGGGGGAAAAAACAACAACAGCTTTTCGCCAAAGGTTCGGAAATTCGCCTCGTTCCCAAAGACGATTAAAAATGGCCAAAAGAACGTCCAGTACGCAGACGGGTAGATGTCGAATCATGTCGTTACGTATTTCATCAGGACCTTCTGATACGCTCCGAAGCCTGCGAACAGTAGCCCTCAGTTCCACCATTGTAAATGGTTCGCTGTAGGCAAGGTGCGCAGAGGTGGAAAAGTCCACTGGACTGGCCTCACAACGCGCCTTATGACGAAGGAACTGGGGATCAACGCTACCGTCTCCACACCGTTCCGCAAGCGCACGACCGATCTCGTTGGCGACGTCAGCAGGATGTAAAATGTCCCGCCTACCAACCTCAAGAACCGGTAGCAGAACCGCGGAAAACTGGCCAGAGACACCCTTAATCTGTGACCATACTTGAGACATAGGGGTGAAATGATTTAGGCGTCCCACGTACTCTTGCCAGGAGACGCGTTTTGCCTCCCGGGTCGTGCGCCGGGCTAAAGCTCTCGCCCTCCTAAATGCGATTAAATTATCGGTTGTGGCATGACGGTCGGAGGCCCGAAAGGCCCGCCTACGTGCCCGGATAACAGCTCGGCACTCGTCGGTCCACCACGGCACCGGGGTGCGACGAGGAGCTCCAGATGTCTTTGGGATGCTCGCGTTCGCTGCACGTAAAAGCGCGGACGTGAAATGTTCGATCGAGTAGTGTGCACCATCCACGGCCTGTGCACCAGGGTCCATCTTTAGCTGAGACTGAAGCTCACTCCAATCTGCTTTTTTAAGATTCCATCGTCGTGGCCGAGGGCCGAGAACCGCTCCGTCATAGTACTCCAAACACACTGGGAAGTGGTCGCTTCTCATAGGGTCGTCAGCTATAGTCCACGTAAAAAGCTGCGCGAGCTGCGGACTCACCAGGCTTAGGTCCAAAACCGACATCTGACCTGACGGTAACGTAAAATGCGTTCGAGATCCCGCATTTAAAACACAGAGCGACTCTTCGCGAATAAATTGCTCTAAAGAACGTCCCCGCGCGTTGCTGTTATCAGAACCCCAAAAGGTATGGTGTGCGTTGTTGTTGTTGATTGGCGTTTTCGGGCGCGCCGACTGCGGTGGTCATTTGGCGCCCAAAACGATTTTTGCTTTACCTTACTAGTGGACCGTGTAAAGAGTCCCGAAGTTGAAATGTTTAAGGAATAAAAATACCTGTCTAGATTCAAGAAGGCGCGAAATGTCTCCTAAAAGATCACAGAGCGTCAAGGACGAGTCACGCTGTTCAAAGTATCGTCGACGTTCTTCCATGAGGTGCGGACATGATGCAAGCGCATGACGAACGGTGAGAACAGCACCACATTGACGACAGATAGGTCTTTCGGCTCCGTGCAACAAATAACCGTGAGTTGCATACGTATGCCCAATGCGTAGTCTGCAAAGGACCACCTCTTCTTGCCTGACTTTGCGAGAACATGATAACCACTAGCCCAGCTTGGGTTTTATTGCTCTGAGCTTATTTTCATTTGTCCCATCCCAACAACGCTGCCATTCATTCTGCAGAAAGGTTTTTATTGCAGGGTAAAAATCTATGGCAGGGAGAGAGAAAGAACGTACACATGGAGCCGGCGCTGCTCGCCTTGCAGCCGCGTCAGCTACCTCGTTGCCGGCGATTCCAATGTGACTGGGGATCCAACACAAAATAACTTTCTTTCGGGCCTCATCCAGCTGAGTCAAACGTCCTGAAATATCCTGTACAAGGGGACATGATGGATAAAAAGACCTCAGACTAAGAACACTGCTCAGAGAGTCTGTCAAAACCAGATGTAAAGGTTCATCGCCGACTTTGATGAAACACAACGCCTTGGATATCGTTACCAACTCCGATGTGAACGCCGACGCGGGTGGAGGCAGAGAAAACGACCGGATGACGCCACCGCTTACAAACGCACAGCCCATACCGCCAGAAGTTTTCCATCCATCCGTGTAAGTAAGTGTGTAACCGTGATATGACGTCATGCGCTCAAGTGCCCTCGACCTCATTATATCTGGCAAGACGACATTCTTTTCCATTTCGGTCAAAGACGTATCTATTGATGGCGAGATTATACGCCAGGGAGCAGTGGACAGATGACCTACCCGCTTCAACCTTCGAATGGGAATTTCGCTTTCCCGTAGCAAGGCTTGTATTCGGAGGCCAAAGGCTACAGCATATGCCCGAGGTGCACTGTGAAGAAAATGCACAGCAGGCCGTGAAAAAAACTGCGTTATATGCCGGATGGGAGGGGAACTGCCGCAACCTAAACGCATAACGCATACCGAGCATTTTCCTTCTCGATGACAAGGGCGGCTCGTGCGATTCCACCATGAGGCTCGCGGCAGGTGATGTGCGGAACGCCCCTGTGATTACGCGTAGAGCGGTATGATGGACAGTGTCCAGGACGCGTTTAGTGGACTCACACGCGCTGTCGCAAATAAAACATGCGTAGTCCAGCTTAGAACGTATGATTGAGCGATACAATAGCAGAAGCGTGCTTCCATCTGCCCCATACGATGTGCGCGAAACACATTTTAGTATGTTCA